CGCAAACCCTAAACCCTAAACCCTAAACCCTAAACCCTAAACCCTAAACCCTAAACCCTAAACCCTAGGCCCTCGGGTGTGCGTGTGTCTGGCTGCAGCAGCAGGAGGGGGCTGCGCGCAGGCGAAGCAGCCCCAAACCCCAAACCCTAAACCCTCGGAGGAGGCGCGCAGCGCAAACCCTAAACCCTAAACCCTAAACCCTAAACCCTAAACCCTAAACCCTCGCGGACCATGCTGGGGTGGAAGGAGCAGTGGTGCCACTGGCCGAGGGGGTCTGCGAAGCAGCAATCCACTTCTTTAATGCCTTCTTTTTGAATGAACTGCAGCAGCTCTTCTTCGTCAGCAGCAGCAACTTTGCAGGAGGTTTTTGGGGGGAGTTGGGGTGTATGTACACCTCCGGGAAGTTGGGGTGTATGTACACCCCGCGGGCCGGGCGCGAAGCCCGCGAGGTCGCGCGGGGGCGTTGGGGAGTCTCGGAAGACCATTTTGGTTTAAGTTTGCGCAAAACAAATTAACAGTTCAAGCTGCTGCTGCTGCTGCTGCTGCTGCTGCTGCTGCTGCTGCTGCTGCTGCTGCAGCGCGCGGAGAAACTGCAGCAAACGCGGTCTTCTGCGGCGTCTGTACACCCCACGAGCAGCAAACTGCCGCTTTTTGTTTTTTCTTTTTCAACTTTTCATAAAACAAACTTTTCGCTCCAACTGCCTTCCTCGCTGGCCCGCTCTGGGGCTGTGCAGCAGCAGCAGCAGCAGCAGCAGCAGACGTCCCGCCGCTGCAGCAGCAGCAGCAGTTCGTGCTGCTGCGCTGCTGCAGCGCCGCCGCCGACTGCAGCAGCCGCCAGCTCTTTCTTTGCTGCTTCTCTTTTGCTTTTCCTTCCAAGTCCATAAATGCAATAACAGCTGCAGGCCGCGGCCGCGGGGGGCGCTGCCGCCGCCGCTGCTGCTGCTGCTGCTGCTGCTGCTGCTGCTGCTGCTGCTGCAGCAGCTGCTGCAAAGATGATCCGCTTCGTCCTTATGGTCAACAAACAGGGCCAAACGAGACTCTCGCAATACTACGAGTTTCTGGAGGTCTCGGAGCGCGCGGCGCTCGAAGGCGAGCTGATTCGCAAGTGCCTCTCGCGCTCGGAGAGCCAGTGCTCGTTCCTGCAGTTCCGGCAGTACAAAGTGGTATACCGGCGGTAAATGGCATTTAATTTGCAAAAGTTTTCCATTTAAAAGTCCATTAAAGTCCAAAAAGTCCTTTAAAGTCCAAAAAGTCCGTTAAAGCTCAAAAGTCCGCAAAGAGCTTGCGGTGTACAGACACCTCAACTGTCTGCGCGCCGCCGCCGCCGCCGCGCCGATCCGGCGGACTTTGAAGGACTTTAAAGGGAAAGCTGCAATAAAAAGTGGAAAATGTGCAGCAAAAGCATTTATAAGTGGCTGTGTGCAGCAGATCTCGCGAAAAAAGGGCTTTTAACCGCCGCTTTCCACCCGTTCAACTCCGCGCCTGCTGCCGCTGCTGCTGCTGCTGCTGCTGCTGCTGCTGCTGCTGCTGCTGCGTGCAGGTACGCGAGTTTGTACTTCATTGTGGGCCTTCTGGACTCTGCGGAAGTCAACGAACTCGCCGTCTTGGAGTTAATTCACTGTCTCGTGGAAACCCTCGACAGGTTCTTCGAAAACGTCTGCGAACTCGATATTATGTTTCACCTCGAGAAGGCCCACTTCATCCTCGCGGAGATGGTCGCGGGCGGCTGCGTCGTCGAGACCAACAAGGCCAACATCATGGCCCCCATCCACATGCTCGAGAAGGCCCCCTAGCTGCTGCTGCAGCAGCAGCAGCAGCAGCTGCTGCTGCTGCTGCTGCTGCTGCTGCTGGTGCTGAGGCTGAGGCTGGTGGTGCGCCTGCTGCGGGTGCTGATGCTGCAGCAGCAGCTCGGCAGCAGCTGCTGCTGCTGCTTCTGGGCCTGCTGCTGTTGCAGCTGGGGGGCCCTTTTGCTAGCTGCTGCAGCAGCAGCTCCTGCTGCTGCTGCTGCTGCTGCTGCAGATTGTGAAAATGTGAAAGGCCAAATCAGCCTGAGAGGAAAGCTGCCCTCTTCTGCGAAGAGGAAAAGATTTGCATGCAGACAAAAAGAAAATAAATTCAGTTTCTCTCAGGCAAGAGAAAGCAGCAAGCAGCAGCAGCAGCAGCAGCAGCAGCAGCAGCAGCAGCAGCAGCAGCAGCAGCAGCAGCAGCAGCAGCAGCAGCAGCAGCAGG